TGATTATATCGGTCGACGCGCTATACATTTTTGCTATAAAAGCCCATTAAACTACTCATTCTATACGAGTCAGAGTTTTCACAGCAAAATGTATAGAGTTTTTATAGCGCGTCGACCGATATAATCACCGATTTGGACACCAAGGACATTCCGCTGGATTACCGGACCTGGGCAGTCCTATTATACCATACCATACGAGTATAATTCACTCGGTTTTAATTGCAATTAGCGTGATCACTTCCCGTTCTTGCATTGTTAAGAATCTGAAGCCTTTAAGCTTGAATATATTATATACAGTAGAAAAGAAAACTTTTCTTTATTTCTTACTTTTCTACAATTTCAGTATTTTAGTGGTAAGTTATTAATGATATATTCATTCATTCGTTTAATGTTCAGTATAATTAGTTCAGGATTTGAAAAATAAACTATCTTAAAATAAATTTACATTTAATTTTATTTTCATTAACTTTAATTATATTTAAATGTAAGTGCTAAATTTTAAGAAATGTTTTAATATAATCTATGAATGAAATGCTTTAAAGTTGGTGTCGACGCCTATTCACATAGAACTGGCCCGACGTTTGGTTAAAATATTTCCAAAATTAGTAAATGGTTTGTATTTGAATGTAAAATACAATGAACTTAATGTTTACTAAGTGTATGCAATGAATGCAGACATTTATTTGGATGATGAGTATTATGGTGAGGGAGCTCTTCATATGGCTGTTGTCAACGAAGACCTATCGATGGTTAAGTATCTGCTGAACAACGGGGCAGATGTTCGGGCCCGGGCTATCGGCAAATTCTTTTGTGCGGACGACCAGAAAGAGTCGCGCGAAGAAGTCTTAGAGCATGAATGGTATCAAATGAAAACTGAGACCAATTATATGGGGTTTGCATATCACCTGTTGCTGTCATACAAACAATCCCTAAACTAATGAGAAATCGGTTCATTGATAGACACGTCTATTGGGGAGAATATCCGCTATCATTCGCTGCATGTCTTGAACTCGAAGATTGTTATCGATTACTGTATGCAAAGGGAGCTAATCCTGACAGTGAAGATACTAATGGTAATACAGTTCTCCATATGACTGTCATCTCTAATAAACTCGTAAGATTCACAAGTATTTTCATATTTATCACATTATTAAACGATATAATATCAATATTTGACAAACAATAGAAAATGTTTAATTTGGCATATGAGCTTGGTGCAGATTTACAGTAAGTGATAATTTAATTTATAAGCAACTATCGTTACTGTTAATATAGTTATCTCATTTGACAAACAAGTTTTAAACTAATGTGTTATCAATTTTGATTACAATGAAATGAAAGTGTGAAGAATAAACAAGGTCTCACACCACTCTCACTCTCAGCTAAATTAACTCGAATCGAAGTATAATTATAATATATATTTGATTAATTGAATTAAAACAAGTCATTTGTGTGACAAACAGATGTTTTTCCATATATTGAAACTGCAAAGAGAGGTGTTTTGGGAGTTCTGTGAGCAGGCATTCGCTGCCTATCCTCTCGAAGAAATTGATTCAATTGATGTAAACACCGGTCAGATTAGGACAACCAATGCATTAAGTGTTGTAGCATTTGGAGTAAGCATTCAATCCTTATTCAATATATTGTATTACTTTTTATTATTATTATGGATTTTTAGTAAATTAATAAAATTAAAAATTGTATCAAATATTTTATATGATAGGATGAACTGGGGCATCTGGATATGTTTGAGGGCTTATTGATTGAGATATTACAAGCAAAATGGAACACTTTCATTAAGAAAAAGTATTCAAATTATCCATTTAAGTGTTCAATTGTATCTATTCTAATTTTGTATACAGATTTTATCAACAAATTGCTTTTTATGGAATTTATTTTTTGGTCACATTTTTCGCTTTCATTCTAAGACCGGCACCTGTTTTGACCATTACTTCCAATGAACTAAACTGTACTGATTTGGACAATAATAGTAATTTCAAGATAAATTTCATATTCAAATATCACACAACTTAACTCTTAATTATACCAATTGTTTACAGACTTCACAAATACTCAGAATTTGAATAATATTTGCGTTACAATAAGTCGATGCAAAACATACTTTCAAAGTCACAATAAGAGTGGTTCTCATTCAACGAGAAAGAGTTCGTTAATTACTACTAATTATAATGAAAATATATCGAAAAAAGATTTATTCAAAGAAACAAACAAAACGATGGATTCATGTTATTTGCATCGTTTCGATACTTCTTTCAATCGAGTATTTTTAAACATAACTTGAAATTTCTTTCAATTTGAATAAATGCATGCTTTAAATGTAATTTTAACTTATTTAATAAGAGGATTAAAAGTGTTTTGAATAATTCAGATGATAAGACTGATAGAGGGGATGAGTGCAATGGGTTCGTTCATATATTTGACGGCAGCCTATATCGAGGCTTCCAGTCTCTCGTGGCATATATTCATTACAACTCTGGTATACATTTTATTGCAAATTATAGTAATGTAATAAACTTATAAGTTAATAAATGATAGTTTTGTATCATCCAATTTTAAGTTAACAAAATGCTAAGTTCTCATATTACAGTATTGTATTAGATAAATGATAGAATTATGGAATATTATATATTGAAAAATCGATATTAATCTATACTATATTTGTATTGTACACGATTGCTTAAATATAATAACTATGATTCAATATTTAACTATAGATTAAAGTTCCTGGAAGAATAATGTTTTTGATGTCATGTATTTTAATAATACTATCAATTCCTTTGCGATTATTTTGTTGGTCTCAATACGAGGACAGAATCATAGCATTGGCTATGTTTTTAACTCCAATGAATCTGCTATTCTTTTGTCGGTAATTACTTTAATACACCAAACATTGCATTCAATAGTTCATGCAAAATATATTCAGATATTTATATTCAAATTTATTTTTCTTTCATTTGTTTTATTAGATATTCTAATTATAACATTGCATTTAAAATAATTAACTTATTTTTTGTCATTCCTTTAGAGGATTCAAAACTGTGGGCCCTTTCGTTGTAATGATTTATAAAATGATTGTTTCAGATCTCTTGTGTTTTGTTATAATTTATATGATTTTTGTTATTGGTTTTGCTGAAGGTATTCATTCAAATAAGTTTCAATTGAAGCAATAATTAATGTAAATTCATTTATTAAATAATTAGCATTTTTTATCATATTTCGCTCGCATTCCGGTGTCGGACCTAATTATTTTGGGGGAGTTGTGGACAGTATTATGTCTATGTTTTTGATGTCATTGAATGAATTCGTTGACATATACGGAGAATTTGATAAAACAGATCATCCAATCATTGCAAAGGTTTCAATCAATTATAGTATATTAAAAGTTTATATATTACAGTATATTTAAAACTTTTAATAATTAATTTCAATTATGCAGTTAATGTTCATCTTTTATATGATTTTGGTGTCAATATTATTAGTAAATATGTTGATTGCTATGATGGTAACTATACAAGCACACTACTTATTCATCTCAATTATAATAAGCTATCATTGCACTGACAAACAGGGAAAGACATATCAAGATATCGCTTCGCGACCCAATGAATGGCTGCGTCAGGTCAGTGATCACAGCGACAAATGCATTGGTTTTAACTAATTGGTGGCACCTGTAGTGGGCGCGTATTATTCTAGTGGTCGAGAGAGGCCTATCACCCCAACAGAGACTTAATATGCAGAAAAAGTACAGTCAGTTGAGAGGAAAGCGCACTATTATTAAAATATGGAAAACCACTGTTAAGTGTCTCTTTACTGTATTCACAAAATGACATTTAAATTAATGAAATACAATCCCTTTAGGAATCGGACAGAAATGACATCAAAGATATAAAACAATTAAAAAACTCAAACATAAAAGCGAGAAACAAAACAATCAAATGATTTCCATTACAAATAAATGTCATTATTTTGCTGAACGTCTGATCCGTTTTTCTTCGTTCAACTCTTCACTGATAGCTTCAGAGATAGAGTCATCAGAATCGGAGAGATTGAGTCCATCCGAAGATTTGTTATAAAAGACACGAACGAAACCACACCTCAGATCCGCTAAACACTTGCGTTCAGAACTATAAACAATACAATTATCATAAATATAACTTATACTGCATTCAGTGGACAGTCATATGAAGGCCCACTCACTGATGCCAACTAATCCTCTCATTGATGACAGGATTGGCGCCATCGATGATCATACGGATCAACAGATTGGCAATATTGAGGGCGTCGTCATATCCAGAGTGTTGTCTCCCTTTGAATTGCATTCCCAGATGTGTCAACATTTCATCCAAACTCAACTGCACCACAATCACAGCAATCAATCAGTTTTATGACAATGTCCTCAACAGTCACTTACTTTGTAAGTCTTGTATTGACTGACAAACAGTTTGCGAATATTTATCCATCGCTTGGCGTAAGACGGATACGGAATGTCATAGAGTTTGCACTTAATGTAAGCAATCATTAATAGCATCACTATTAGGAACAGTAGACAAGACTTACGGTTTGCGCGAAGAAGTGACTCATATCACAGGGACTGCAATATAAACACCAATCCATTATTGATATGAATGACAGTATTCTACTGAATGACAAACCCATCGGTGGCCAAAGCAAATGACTTGACATCATTGTCATCAATGAAACCGTGGAACCAATTCTCAAATTTGTCCAAAACGTGTGCAAATGTGTCCGACTTGTCCACCACTTCCTGACTAATTGCTGTCAAATCCACACAAAAATCCGACAGTTTTTCAGTGCATTTCGGTTTCACAAACTCATGAAATGTGGAAACCTTTCAATCGGTTCGAGATATGAATGAATGCTTTAATGAAAGTATAAATCAAAGAGAAATACAATTTGTTTTTGTTTGACGTCAACCATAATCGCCGGAAACTCAATGATCTCTTGGATTGGCTGTGGGTTTGTCTGCGAATCACAGGTGGCCTCGAAGTCCACAATACAGATCATGTCGTAGTGATAGGTGACTGTCTTCTTATACACTTTACTCATCGCTTCATTCCTGTAGTGACTCTTCAGACGTCTTCGGCACGAATCCATTGAACCACTAATTCATTCAAATATCATCATAACACTCAACATTACCATCAGTTATCTCACACACAGACCTCTCTTCCAGACTCAACTGTTGCAGACGTTGTCTCAACTGATCCGCATTCATCACATTAATAAATCCATTGATTTGTGATAATCTCCTGAAAGTGGGATCAGTTGATGGATTATGTTTGTGGTGTGACTTCTGATCACTCATAGTATGTATGTGTGAGTCAGTGACCAGTGATGAGACAATTGACAGTCAATGCAAACACCGATTGAAAGCCAAACAAATCATATGTTTTTTGGCGCTAATATTGTGGGCAATGGTTTGGACGCATGCGCTCTCATTCCCATACATTTACACTGCTCTGAGATTCTGTAACAGAATTGGTGTTGTGTTGCAAAGTTGAACCTTTTGATTGTCAATATGAACAGGATACTTTATTCTCACTATTTTTTTTATTAAACTTTCCAAACAAAACAAAATTACAATAAATAAATTTGATTGAAATACTATTTGTATTGGGTTTGACTTAACACTCGACTGCAATAGAGGTAATTGAGTGGTAATTGAGTTGAGAAGTCATAAGAATGTATAGAATTGTATAGAATTGAAGGGAAGTTGTGGTGAAGTGGGGCTCAGAGAAGGGGTGAGAGTAGGGGTCACTCGAGTCCAAAGCCCTCGGCGTTAGAGATGGCAATAATGAGCTTCTGTTTCAGTATTTCTTGAGTTGGATATCGGGGTAAAACAAGTTGATTGAAACACGTGTGAGATATGGGAAGCCTTTACAATAGGGAAACACAATTGAATTGATCATCCAGATTAAATTATAATGATTATAATGATTATAGCGTACATATCAGTGCTGCCATTTTGGGCGGATATCTTGAAGTTCATTTCACTCATGCCATTGATGGGCACCCTATCACTTCCCGTCACAAACCTCAGGAACTCTTTCTGCATCTCTGGAGTCAAAGACTTGATTATATCCCAAAAATATCTATCAAAAGAATTTAATTAATTTAAAAATCAATTCTTCATTCAATTGGTGACAAACTTGATGATGAGGTCGTTCTCGTGAAACCCATCATAAACTGTGGCTTTTCGAAGCTCTTCCATATCAATGGTAGGACAGCCGCACACAAGTACTTCCACTTCTTCTGGTCTTAACATCTGTTTAATAAATTTGTAATAAATTTTTGATTTTCATTTTGCAAACATCCAAAAATGATTACAATTAAGGCATTGGAGGCGCAAACGCTATGGAATCCCAGGTAGAAAGCTTTGAAGGGTTGGAAAATAGCTTTATTCAATATTAGGTCCATATATAACTCGACATATTCTAGATATCAAAATGCAATTCAATATTATTCTTATTTTATAGTTTAATAATTAAACAATTAGTCTTATTGTTACCAAATCTGTTCTCATTATTAACAGTAATGTCCTGTCCATTAGGTTTGAGGGCATGAGTTTTCATTTCATTGAATTCTTCAACTGAAACCTGTATTAATAATACATATCAATACTATTAATACATATTATATAATAGATACGAAATAATTATAAAGTATAAATGACCTGAAAATTCATGCAAAAGTCTTCCTCAACATTGCCTTCGTATGACAGCAACTCTTTTAGGCCAACCGCCACATCCTTTACAATTTAATATCACTTTTAATTCATATTTTGATTTTGATCTTGATTTTGTGATAAAAGTGTTAACTCACGGGCATTACTTGAGTGAAATCATCCATATTCACTGGTCATCCAGAGTAAATAAAAGCTTTAATGTGTACTTAATAAATTAGTTAATTGTCAATAAAAATCTAACCATTACACATGCCAACATTACAACGATCCACATCGACGGGCACTACTGGAGGACTCAATAATTTCTTGAAGCAAAGTGTTGGGAAATGGAGATCAAGTATTCTATTGATTGATATTTTTAAAAATTATTAGTAACTTTCAAATTGTGGATACAGGTATTTATTTAAAATATTTGTTATTAAAACCTTACATTGAGTTGTAAACTGCGAGACCCATTAGCTGTAATGTAAAATAAATATGAATTCTATTTAAAGCTATATTTATATATAAGACATACAACTCCAATAAGATTATATTCTCTAAGATTTCCCATCTGTGCTGTACTGAACCAATAACACCGGGATTTACTGTGGTATACAAACATCCCTGAGCACAAATTGATGTTGAATATTAAATTTTAACAAAAACAGTATGATATAAAATAAAATTTTTAAGAAGTTATACCATAGTCCTCATGAAATATTTGTTTAATCAATAACAAGAACCATTCTTTGGTCAGCCCTCCCATATCAAGTCCCGGTTCACCAATGAATGTTACCTTCAGTTTCTTCTTTAAATCATTTTGCTTTTTAGCGATCTATTTGTTAAATGTATCAGGCTAAGTTATGCTTGATTTTAAAATGTTACATAAATAGTTGTACTTCATTTAATGAATCGGACACTAAATTGGACCGATGAATGTTCAGGTTGAGAAAGAATACATCGATGTCTGCCATTTGCTGGTGTATCGCACGATTCAATAGGCTTTGCTGCAAAAGTTTCAATTATTTTAGTTTCTTTTATTATATTTAAATGTTTTCATATTTTTATTCATTATTATTATTGTTTTGTTATTATTGTTATTATTATTGTTGATTAATTAACTCTAACTAGTAAGAAATCATTTATGATATTTTATAATTCTTAATGTATGCTTGATGCTGTATGATAACAAGTAACCTTATACGGTATACCAATATACTAACCCTTGCATTTAAAATCATCTGTTGTTCTGAGTCTCTTTGAAGAACTTGAGTAATAAATAGAGATATAAGCAATTCATTTATTTAATATTTAGTATAAATTAGCCAATCTTATATACTGTACTTGTTTTCTTTGCAACAATACTTAAGATGAATGGGTATTGACAATACGAAAACCTATTAAAGTAGAGATACTGTTTAATTCAGATATCTTACTTGTTAGTAAAAGTGAAATTGTGTGTTAACCGGTTAGTTTTAGATGGGTTTTGCCATCTGTAATATTCAGACATGAGATTTATGTGATCCAAAGCGTAATTATAGAACTCGATGTAATTGATCACATTTGGGATCACTTTATTATTTGCAGCATCTGAAGAATATAACACATTTTCAATTGTATTATTACGATAAAAAATATCTATTAAAACATACTGATGAGGGCCAGTACACGAGTAGCACAAGGGATCCAAAATCTGCTTTTGCTAATTGAGGGTAATTTATGTCTATTATTTGGTGGGAATTCTCGGATTGTTATGAATTGCAACAATCGTTTAACGAGTGATCGCATCCTATCAGCTGCTAAACTGTATTCAATTAAAAATATTATTTTTCAGTTGTCAGAATTATGATTTAATCTATCAATAAATACTTTGAAAACCAATGTATCAATAGCTGGTGGTCACCACTATTAAGGTTTATAATACGTTTCAACAAATGCGCGAAAACACTATAAGATGATTGACTGCTAAATATAGGATTCTGTATAAAAGTGTATGAATAGTTTATATGAATTGTTTGGATATCTAATATACTATAAATTATTAATACCTGTAAGAGTATAAATATTGCACGAATTTCATCCTTTGCTTTTAGTCTAAATAAGTATGTAAGTATCATGATAATTATTAATAATAATAATATTAATATTATAAAGGTATATCTGTTATTTAAAACATTGTTCTCAATTATAAAACTACTCTTAAATTATTTAATTCATATAATAATATTTGGAAATCATATTTTAAATGGGGTGACAGAAACAACATACGATAATCTTGATATGACTTACTGGTCAGTAGACGTAAGTGAAGCGATCACACCTTTCAACACAGTTTTGCTAATAAATGAAGGCTATATATGATACAAATTGATTTAATATGAATATCAATTAGGTTTGGGACAATGATGACTAACCAAATGATTCAATTCATCATAAACTGCATATAGAAATTGCAGTTTAAGTTGTGGGTCATTGAATTTGGCATTTTCTTGTTCAGGATTTTCTTTAAAAAGAGCATTCATTTCAACGTATGAACTAAATGTTTGTTCGTAAAAGTCATGTAACTCTGTATAGTCCGCACATTCGGCCGATTTATTTAATAAATCTCTATATAAATAATTTAATAAAATAATTATTGACAAAAATTAAATAAATTGCAATTAAATTCACTTGAATTCTTCCAGAGTTTTATCACGTTTAGGATAAGTAATTGGATTGGACATGAATTTGGTATTATAAGAAAATTGTGAGTTTTCCAAAGTTGTGTGAATAAAATGAGGATTTTTGGTTGCATTGGAAATGCCATAACTACTGAAATGTGTCTCATCTGATAGACCCGGCGATTCTCTAATTGCAAGACTCGGCCGTGAATTGTGTATCGGAGGCAGAGTTAGATACAGATTTGGTGTGTCCTCCTCAGTGTGGGGACGGAATAACAGTCCCGTTATGTAAGTGTGAATCACACCTAAAGTACAAGAGTTGTGTCGCTTCTCTAATACTGTATTTAAAACATTTTATAATTACCCAAACCATCAGTAATGAGGGGTCCAAAACCTGTAACCCGTAATAATTGTCGTCCGGAATCCTTATTTAAAATTACAATAAATTTACTTTTGAATTATATATTTTTTATTAAATTACAATACTCTATTTTTGTATTTAATTAAAAATTGTTTATTCAAATAATTATGTTTTATGTAATTTTTATTTTTGCATATTTAAGGAATTTAATTTAATTAGCAATTTTTTTAACTTTTTTAAAATTAAATATTTGAATTTTACTTTGATTTAATATTAGAATAATAAAAATTACACACTTTTACTTGATTTAACAAAAATTAAGTTCAACTTACAATCGGTGGTAAACGAAGAATCTCTTCGTGAGAATCGCTTCTTATTCTGGAATCGGATCGCAAACTAATATCGAGTTCAACATTTGGATCATAAAAGTTGCCACAAAATGGACACATAGACCTTGGTCTGTTTTGGGAAATAGTTATGCGGCAGGAGGGACAGGTCAGGTGTATATTAGATGAGGTGCTGGCAATAAATTCATTGGATGTATAATTTTGGTCCGGAATTAAATCCATTGAAAAAATATACAAAATATTTTGATCACAACTCAATAAAATCCAGAATCAAATGTCATTTCGTTCAATATTAGTGTACATGGATTTACAATTCATAGCAACCAATAAATAGACAACAAAACAAAGTGTTGTTTTGATTTGATTTTATATTAATTGCATATACGCTTCGTTGTAATAATATTATACAATACATAATAGATTGCATTTTAATATTAATGATTATCACATAAATAGAATCGTTTACTACAGTATTACAATTATATATTTGCTTTCTAATAAATCAATAGTTTATTAAAAATTAAATCTCTTACAGTTTATAAAATTATTTTATTGAAGTGGTCATAAATTCAATCCAAAATAAAAGTTTTAATAAATTACTAAATTTATTTCAAGAGTCTTAAAAATATTGCATTCGTAGATTGTATTTTGCAATATATACAGTATATACAGAAATTATTCAATATATTAATACTGTAATTACCGTAACTCAATAATCTAAAAAATAGATTAAAGATTTATGTTATTTTTAAAGTATAAAATAAAATTATAGATTTTTTATTTAAAAAAGCATTTAATGTGGTATAAACCTCACATTATAATTCATAAAATATGAATGTCAAATATTATATTAATATAATGCCTTATATAAAATTATATAATATATAAAAAGAATAAAATATTTTATAAACAAAATGAACATCATATTTATTCCAATAGAATCAATAATATTAGAAACTAAAATTTTAAATTTTATTTAATGGTAATTTGAGACTAATTATAATTCTGTATTTTCATAAGAGTGTTAATTTATTTAAAATTATTTAAATTTCTAAATTAAATAAGTAATATATAAATATGAATAGATGTGATTTTTAGATAATTGATGAGAAATGTTGATATCATAGCACAAACATTGCACTGTTTACTGTATATTGAATTGTATTGAATAAGTATGTTATTTGACACTCAATTGCATACACGTATGGATTCTGAGGGACGGAATGCGCGGATGTTTTTGAACTGAATTAGTGGTGAATCGCGCGCACATTCAGACCATCAGATCGATAGGAGAATGTGGTCTCACTTTCCACTCTTCACTCATCTTTGAGTCTCACAAACCTATTAGTCTTGAATTCCATCTTCAATACAAACCATAAGATAATCTCAATTTGAATTCAAAATCAGTTCAACACATAATTGATTATTAGTTTTGATATTGTTTTGGTTGTAATATCTGTTAAAAGAGAGCATTCAATGGAAGAAAGTCGTGAATCTCGGAAGTGTTCGTTCAGAATAGCGGGCCCTCCGAAGGAGAGTTTGGGTGAACTCTGCAAATGTACTAAATTCACTAAAAGGGAGATCCAAGTCATGTACAGAACATTCAAACAGGTATGTCATGTTTGCTCATTAATTATGATAATCACCAACAATTATCCCCTATTATGCTCTCATCAAAAACTTGTTCTCTATCAACATTCTTACATTTTATTATTTTTATTGTTATTTTATTGTTATACAAATGTATACACAGTATACATGTATATTTTTAAAATCATGTATAAATAAATATAATGTCAAGAATATTATATAATATTTAATTCAAATTAAACCATAAGTAAAAATTTAATACTAGTATACATATTGAGATAAAAATGTAAAATTTATAAAATATTAATGCATTTACTTGTCACACAAACACCTAATTATGAAAATATATCATTACCGAGAGATTGATACATACATATCATGTATATTATCAAAAGATATTTTATCATTTCTTAATAGGTTAGCCTTTTATGATTAATCAATACAAATGAGGTTTACTAGGTATAAAACTTGAATGAATGTAGATTAGTACTTACAAAAAAATACATGGTTAATTCTAACTTAATGTATTTAAATTAGAAAAGTATATTTATATAATTTAAAGTTTATAGAGTTAAGGTTCGTTCTAACCAGTTAAATAGATAATAATAGTAACAATTGTAAAAATATTATTACAGTTATATTAACATTCATTTAACCAAATATATCGATATGTTTAGGACTGTCCGACTGGTCTGTTAGAAGAGGACACCTTCAGAGAAATATTTACTCGATTTTTCCCCTATGGAAGTGAGTATTGATATTCATTCAAACTATTAATAAACATTTTCCAAGGTGTACTAGTATATTTTCTAAAATTTAGAATCTAAATGTTAATAATACAGTATTAGCTTAATACAACTGAAAATATACTGTACTGAAGGTTCACTTTGCTCTATTATTTAAGTTCAGGGATAAATATAAGTTGAATGATTACATTTTATACAAATAGCTCTTAAGATGCAAACAAATTCACAAAAGAGTGCACATAATATCTGAGATTGATTTAAAATAAATAAACATTTAAGATTTTCGTTTTTATAATTAAATTCTTACAAATATCCGTATGGGCCTCTATTTAAAATCTATAAATAAATATTAATTTAAAGAAAATTAAACATTGTGTGGGAATATTTAATTTAACTTCATTTACTATTTTTTGTTTTGTTTATTAAATTTATATTGAAGACTCTATAATAAAAATAGCATTATAGTATTTAATACTTGGATAACATTCCTATCAATTAAAAGCTTAAAATATATTTTAAAATAAAAATTAACCCATAATAAAACCCATATGGTTTTTTTGGTTATTATATCTTGCATAAGTTTACAATTTTGAATGGTTTCTATAAACTTATAAATTTCTACATGATAAACTTTTATAATCCATGTTTAGTATTCCGCACCCTTTTCCAAAACCATAGAAATAAGACAAACATTAGCAATGATTTTATACACCATTTGTAAAATTAGGAAATAATGGCTGTGAGAGTCTGCAGACAATCTATCAGATAATGATTATCAGATCGTGTACTCATTCTAACCCTTAGACTCACACGGATTTAGATTATCCCATAATAAAAATCAAAGCTTGCATAAATAACTTAGTTTGGTTAATTGAATACCGGTAAAAATCTTAGTTATACAGTTCTATCATACAATACGCTGTACTGTACGGAGTATTAATTTAACATTATTGAAATAAATCTAAAGTATTAATACTATGTATATAACTGGAGTATATATACTATGTATTAAGAAATTTAATTTTATAAAATATCTAATTCTTTAACTATTCATATGGAAAGCACAATAATATATTTAAATCCTTTTAAATAAATTGAAACATTTTCAACAAACAATATTGAATATAAAAACATTAAAACTAATTGCATTAACTTGTATTGAAATGAAATTCTAATTCCTATCTAAACTAATGGCAACTTTTCAGACGTCAACCCTTATGCACACTACGTGTTCAAGACTTTTGATCACAACAGGGATGAAGCCATAAGTTTTAAAGTAAACAAATTATATAATAATCTGATTGGACTGCTAATCGTTTGAAAATTGAAATGAAATTAGGATTTCCTGCAGTGGTTGTCTCTATTATGTCACGGATCATCTCAAGAGAAGTTGAAGTGGGCTTTTCGGCTCTATGACATCAATCACGACGGATTCATCACAAGTAATTTGATTCCTAATCATTTGATTGTCATTCAATGCAAACCTCTTCTCTCAAACAGGGAAAGAGTTGAGTGATATTCTGTGCTCTATATATGCACTCATAGGACGCCGTACTTATCCAGTGATCGATGAAAGGACTTTAAGAGATCATTGCGACCGAACATTTCAGGTATACCTCTATCACTGTTAATGACATTTCAGGTATACCTCTATCACTGTTAATGACATTTCAGGTATACCTCTATCACTGTTACTGTAGTAGTCTTATCATCAAACTACTGTATTGTCTATTTATTTTAATTTACATTACAAATAAAGTATTGCCTAATAGAAATTATTATTATTATTATATCGATATACTTACTGGTAACATTTCACTTTACAACATGTTTCCTTTATCATATAAAGTTAAATTTAAGTTAAATTAATAAATTTTAAAATAAGCTTTAATTATTTTATTTATTAATTTTGCAGTCTTTTACAAGTGATTAGTTTTTATAAATTTATAAATTGGATTTTAATAATAATTGTCATTATTGTAGAAATTAGACGTAAACAAGGACGGAGTGGTCACTTTTGAAGAGTTTATGGACATTTGCGCTCGGGTAGTCTAATTGATTTATGTCGTAAATAAATAAATATGACTTAATATGACTTAACTTATACTTTTAGGACGAGGCGATTGCCCGATCCCTTGCAATACTGGACACAATAATGTAAAGAAAACAAGTGAACAGAGAAGACATGAATCTCAATAGAATTTATTTTAAATACTTTATAATTGTTTATTAAGGTTAAGAATGTCATAAGAAAGGATTCATTGCACACTGTTATCGTAAATGTATGAATGCATCACAATTACATTGATCGAGCACAACCATAATGTTGATATGAATCATATAGAACTCAATCAGATCGACAAACTATCAAAATCTACTCAAAAGTACTTTGTGTCCAAATATTATGAGAAAGTTATTACCATATTTACACCTTGGTATTTAATACTTATACTAATATCTGTGTTTAAATACTAAAGGTCATTTAATATTCTTTGGCCCAAAAGTTTATAATGAATTTTATGAATTTCAATTTAAAGATTGTAATTTACAGTACATGTTAAGGACTTATAATCGTAAATATATAATGATACTGTAATTTCACTTTTGTTATGAAATAATTTAATGTACATTTCCTGTCACTGTAATCAATTGCTTATTTTAAATTATAAGTCCTTTAAAAGAATTCTATAAGATTGTTTGGTTCTAGCTACATCTAGAAATGTATAAATACTTGAATTTGAGATAAACTAGTGAGTTTAGATGAGTGTGAACATTTCATGCATTAACTGTCTAATTAAAAGCATAGACTATATGTTAGATTGTGTTGTAACTTTCATTTAAAACCATAACTTATTAGCACTTAATTATACACTAATATTAGGCACATTGCTCGCTGTCTATTGATTGCTCATTGCGTCCAATCATTTGCTGTCCGACAATATACTGTGAAAGACAATGGTTTATATGAAACATCAATCATTGATTGCCACAAATGATAGCCCCATAGGAGGTGCGCTTATTATATGCATTTCATATGATAACTTGGGAGTCGGGAGCTCACCAATGGGTCAAATTCTACTCGTATTGTACGGCACAGTGCTATACAATGATACGGTATATGAAGGTGTAGTGCATACAAGTTAACCTATTGTTTGAGGTGTCGATTGTAAATATGAATATATTTGAGTGCATTTGTAGGCATATAATAGGAAATTCCTAAATTCCTATTAGGAATCATAGGTTGTGTACAATTGAGTCCAATTTGAATGTCCGGATATAACTGTCCCCTAAAAGGGTTCACATTTACCTTTCACCCTTTCACTCACAATATGAGTCCATTTTCATGATATATTAGATCTAAATTACTATTTACTCATATTTCTCTATATTATTGTTATACTGTATTACATACTTTTGGGATTACTGTGCAAAATTATTCAAATGAATTAATTTATCACAAATGTAACAATTATTTACTAATAGATTACTATTTATCATATTTCTTAACAAACGCTACAATGTATCCCTAAATTGTAATATAAATTTCCAACTTTTATTTTAATAAACATTTGTTTTATGAATGAACACCAAATTGTGCAATTATTAATCATATGGGAGAGTAGAATGAGCTGGATGAGATACGGTATGTATTTGTGAATGAGCATGCTAAATTTAAATGTACAATGACTGAAAGTATGAATGAGTGCACATTTGGCGCATTCACGCAATTGTATGCAAACCGACGACAATAACCTGAAACGTGTGTCTATTATACCAATCATTGCACTCATGAATGCCATCACATTATTACACCATTTGTGGCTCCCTTTCACTCAACTCTTTATTCCTCATCCCCTATAATAACGTAACAATATTTGCGAGTTTGTTATGAACTGTAGACCGGTTTACAGTATTAGACAACATTTGAATCACATTTTTGCCATTAAAGGCCATATTTTGAGTGTAAATGTGGTTAACAGAGTTATAAATAATATTTAATACAAATAAAGTCATAAATAACTAACCTAATATAGATTGTAAATTCCCATTCAAACTTTACTAAACTTACAAAGTACATTCACACGAAATACATGTGGAAATACATGCCTAAGATGTATGAATGAATGACTGCATGTGTGGCTAAGCCTTAAGGCGAGTCCACGTGGAGTTAACTCGAGTACACATCACATACAGACAGACATACACTTAGACACAGCTATCGGTGTATTTGTGACCATTCATTGCAATCTAGTGTTCACTTTGCAGTCAAATGTCGTTATAATGACCACAAAACCAATGGACACCAGATTTGATGTTTTAGCGCCCAATGTATGTCTCGTAACAAACAGTTGATTCATAGACACATGTCTCGCATATGTTGTTGAATGACATTTCATACGGCAATAACAATACTGACATAATAGTTATCATACTTTCAATGATCTCGTCCATCACTTCAATTGAATACGAGTTCAAACTTTATTTGACAAATATTTTATTAAATTCAGTATTTGTTTGATATATTTTCAAATACCGGTACTCTGCTACATCCAATACAGGTAAATAATAGATGTGGCAAGGAGGTTTGTTTGCTTTTCAAATTTCAAGTAACTAGAATTGATCTTTAAAAGTATCCAGGTCAGGATCAATATAGACATGTTTCATTTATCATAAATCACAACTTGTGAAGCAATCCGTAAACATACAGTTTCATGTGGCATATGTACATATGACATCCCATTCACGTATATTTGTAGTATAAGTAATACTTATTAAGTATCAATTGTTTGAATACATTTGTCACTCACTTTTGAACTATGCCGTAAACCATTATAAGTTACTTTTATATTGTGATGACCAGGACGCATTTAATTAAAATGTACTGTTAGTACTTATGTTATCATGTGTTTATTGATTCGATATATGAACAGATATCATATGAATTTAAGGTGAAAATTGTTAGTTTTAGAAGTTTATAATTTGAGTTGTATTTTGTAAGAATAATAGTTAGAATTATACAGTATTGTGAGGTCAAGTACAATTTAGGTAAAGTACCTAGAAGCATAATGTGTTAACTGTTTTTGTCTGATTGATGTGCACAAAGTTTATAAGCGGTGTTCACTTGACTGATCCAATAGACAATTGATTTTGGATTGAAGTGTGTTTATGGCGATTTAATATTTGATTTACTCAAAAAGAGCATAAAGAGTTCTATACTATTCTCTAAGATCGTAAACCACTGTAAACAAACTTAACGTCTACTGAAGGCTGTCAAACCTCTGGTGATATCTAGACGACAGTTGTTTGGACGACATCTTCACAATGCAATCGCAGTCTTTGGGAGACTTCGACTTCGGATTGGAGACCAATAATGTCTTCGTAGCGGACACTCTGTTTGAGTGGTTTCAAGAACACGAGAAAAATAGTGATCGAAATTATAATTATGTTACCATTAATAGCAAAACTAATAATTATAGCAATAATAGCATAAAAGCCAACTCTGGTGTCAATGACAGCAAACAGAGCGATAACATAGCTATCATTTCATCGCCACGAGTACGCAAATCCAAGACTAATAGATCCAGTTATATGTCTACTAAAAGTAAAGGCATTTCATTATTAGCTAAACCCAACAAAAATTGTAGGAAGCGATCACTTCTTAAGAATAATAGCAGACATTTTGAATTATTGTCTTCTTATTTACATCACGAACACGACTATTGCTCTAATAACTGATTAATTTACTGATTATTTTATCATTTTAAGTTTATATACATGTATTATAACTATTTTAAACTTATTTAATAAAATTATCTAACATTATTTTTATAATAAACTTATTTAATATTAATTGTTATTAATATACAGTTATGTGGAGTGCCTTTCACTTGTGCTGACCTACTATTCGGTAATATACTGCACAGTATTGCAATATATTAGCAATAATTGGAGAGTGGCTTAAGTGGTGTCTGATTAGAAGAAATTCATTAAAATATGAGAGCCTATAGAATATATGAAATATATTTCATTTTTAAGGTAATCAAAGCAATACAGTCATTGGTTTAGTCAATATATAGATTAAATATGCTTAAATGGGTCAATTTGATTTAACGGATAGTTATTAAATGATATGATAAGCAGTCAGAGATAGAATTGTGAGGACAGTACATACAATGTTATACAGTATTTGTAAGTTTAAGAATATTCATTTTTAAAATGATGACATTTATAATGAATACATAATAGTATAATAAAAGAATGATCTGAGATATGGGTAACAGGACTAGTATTTAGGGAATCGGTGACTGGGATTGAGCTCAATACTCAATACTGTAGTACTGTATGAGAGCTTTACAGTGAAATGTAGGCCTTAGAGCAGTGTTAGGCAATGGAGGGTATGGTAGGAAAGCGTCGCATTGCAGTCACCGCCAACTTATCGATCGTTTTGTAGTATTGATTGTTTTGAGTGACTTTGCGATCGATCGCAACCAGAATGTAGTGGCGATAAAGTTCTTGAATACTATGCTATGCTATGGCAGAGAATATGTAGTTTTCATGCTATTTGTTAGGCATTGGAGTGAGCGCTGCAAACGGAGAAGATTGGGAAGAGTTCACTGCAAAGAGTGCACAACACAGTCGACAGTGGAGGCCAAGTGTAGGCCCCGTAATATTGCTAGGAATCGGTCAAAATTGAGACCATTTGCACTGATTGTGACAATTAAAGGAAATGATGAAACAAATGATTGAATGGACGCAGAATGGCCTATAGATTTGCTTTGGTGTATGTAATGGAGTGAATGCAGTGAAGCCAACATTGGTTGGTTGTCGAGAGCATCCTTTCATCCCTTGCATCCCATCATCACATCTCATATGATTTGCTTTCATCTCTCACTCCACTGATGGCTGCAATTGTCAGAGCATTTGCTCGCATATTGTTTGCAATTGTTTTTCATTTATAACTGTTATTCATGTCAAGTATTTAATGTAATATAAGGTAACGTTGACTCACGAGTCATACCTAATAATAAATTTTAATAAATAAATTAAATTGTGATATAAATAATGGACTCGAAGAAGGCCAAAGCAATCACTATTGGAGATCAGTTGAATAAATCGGTCAAAACGACTCCAGTACTCATTTTGCCAAATCATAGCTTCACTAAACAGATGTCTGATATAAGCAATGCTTCACAATATTCACAGTTAGATAATAGCAGTCATTCTGGAGTCACTTGTGTTCCCAAACTTAGCGTACATTACATCGTCTCTCTGAATAACGAACCGCCGATTATCAGTTCCGGTAAGCATTTGGATAATGAAAACTCCAATCATATTAAAACCGAAACCATTGATGGCGAGAGAAAGTGTTTGATTTCATTACCTCTGGAGAGTTGTCATAATGACTGCGATTCCAATACTCTTAAAGCCAACCACTCGATGACTAACCAAAGACTACTAATAAGTCCGACAGACTTCTTGACGTTAACTGAAGATGGAATCACTCACAAGAACTCTGCCGTCAGGAAAGACGTGAATCTGTCTGCGAGTAGTCTTGAGATCATTCGCCGCAATACCGTTGACACCAATTTTGCCATTTGTTTGGACCGGTATTGCGAGTCACCTCTCCTTCTGGAGGCGCACAAAGACTCGCAACTCATTTGCGACGATGAGATCTCCTGTAATGGAAGGAACTCCAGACTATCAGAGAGTCCCGAAGATATGACAACTGATGAGCTCTTCGCCAATACGTTCGGAACGGATCAGTCGACGTCTTTGAGAGAAGTGGTCACTCCTATTGAAGTGGAAAGCGCTAGAAATACACCGATTCCTCTGCATAAAGAAATAATTGTCTCGAATAAAAGCAAAACGAATATTGAAAGCAATATTCTTTGTGAGGATATAAAGCCATCGATTGAGACAATTGAAGCGAAACCGGTTTTGACGACATTGGATGCGATGGAGAGTTCGGCCAATAATTGCAGTTCTCAGACACAAACTGATAGCTCATTCTCAATGATCTCTTCCCAATCAGACATCAATGTCTCGACTTCACAGTCCCTCTCATTGACAACACTAGACATAAAAGTATTGCCGACAGGAATGTTAGCCAAAGATTCCATATTATTGGCCAATTTGGCGGCCGCTCTCCCATCTTCTCTCACTTCCAGACAAATAGCTCTTCAAGTGATCCGAGAAGACGGCACTTCTCTGGTCTTACCATTAAATACAAAGCATGAGAACAACGATGTCTTGTCCACAAAGGAGGGCCCCAGTGATCTTGGGGTCAGTTCTTCACTGGTATTGGCAGAAGTGGTTTCGCCCAACGAGTCCATCAGACCATTCAAATGCGAGTTATGTAACTCAACATTCACTCGACTGGGGAACTACACCAGACATAAGAAAATACATTCCTATCCCTCCAAGGTATACAACACAACCTCCCCTTAAGTTATCAATGATTACTAATTATGTTTATGTCTTTGGGTGCGAACAGGAGGACCAGCGCTTCCGGTGCGACATATGTAGCAAGTCTTTCATCCAACGCTGTGATCTGGCCCGACATCTCCACATACATCGCGGCACCGGTATGTCAACCATAACTCAATGACTGATTTATTTTCATAAATTCCAACTCTTTGTTATCTCATATGAATGGTCAGAACCGCACCGGTGTTCACAATGTGGAAAGGGATACATAAGACACAGTGATTTGGTTACTCATCAACGGTTCCACAATAAAGAGTATGTGAAAGACTTTGTGACAACTTTGTGAAGAAATATCTAATTTGTTTGATTGATTAAAAACAGGAAAATCTTTTCGTGTCCGCACTGTAGTAAAGGGTTCTGTCAGAGGGGAGACCTGAACCGTCACTTGCGGTCAATTCATTTGCAGTTAAAACCGATTCTGTGCTCATATTCTAACTGTCAAAAGAAGTTTGCGAAACAGGAAACCCTCTTAAGACATATTAACTCAAGTCATAGGGATCTCATTGAAGACGCAACTGATCCACAATTCAAGTGAATTGAAACTCATGTTATGTTTGTTTTCAATCTTTTACTTCAATCTAACTATTATTATAATTAATCATAAATTAATTATAAATACAATTATCATATTTACAATCAATTTATTTATTCATTTGTGTTATCATTATTCAAATCAATTACAAATATTTGAAATAAATGTCAAAATAATAATCAGTTTATTATTAAATCAAATGATTGTTAGGTTTTTGTCGATAAATAAAAAATATTTCAAAAAACAATTCAATGTTTTCATGAATTCAACCGAAATTGCAGTCAATTCTGTGTATTCTCTGTAATATTCTTTGCATTCCTATGGCTTTCAATGCTATCGTGTGTTGAGTGCCATCTATGAGACAATCACTCAANGATTTTCAAATTATAGGTTTGTAAGTAATAATTACTACTAATAGTCAATTAGTATTTTATAAATTATATTTAGAGATATTTTAATACAATTAATCATTAAATCTTAATAAGTAGCCAAACTATAATTAAATTGATTAACTCTGCTTATTGGACACATCTATTAGAATATGAATACACTATATCACTGATATCATAACAGTTATTAATTTTATAATTAGCTATTATTAATAATTTATTAATATCATTTACATGAATAGCACAATAATAATTTATTAATAACCGATAAAAGTACGTTAATACTTACATTCCATTAAAATGACATAGTGGCTTTAATTAAAATTTTTATTGAAAAAAAGGTTTACGGTACTACGGTAATAAATTACCGGTATTATTTATAACTCTTTGTATCAATTAATATTATTGGTTAAACTATTGAATTGTTTTGAAATTAAAATTATATCTTTATTTTCATTTAATACATACAACACATGAAATGGTATACAGTAATGATTAAAAGTAATGCATACAAAAGAACTAAAAAATCTTACAAATAGTATTGAATTTTATTATTATCTCCGGTACAATAACTATTTTTAATCATTGAATGACAGCAACGGTACCCCCACTGACCCCCTTCCCAAAAAGAGCCCCAAACGGATGTGTGATTATTGGTGAAGACGTCCTCCTCGTNAACTAAAAAATCTTACAAATAGTATTGAATTTTATTATTATCTCCGGTACAATAACTATTTTTAATCATTGAATGACAGCAACGGTACCCCCACTGACCCCCTTCCCAAAAAGAGCCCCAAACGGATGTGTGATTATTGGTGAAGAGGTCCTCCTCGTAAATAGAGCTCACTTTGGCCTTCTGACAGCCTTTGATGACCTGACCCTGACGTGAATATTCCACATAACTGTCCGTTTGTCCAAACTTGAGTTGCGGGTCCAGTGTCTGTAAGTGCTCTTTACCGCCATATTTGTCAATAATGGACTGACGGAACACTTCCTTCACGTTCTCCTTCTTGTCATCGATTTGTTTCTTAACTAATTCTGTTTTAGTGGGCTCTGCCTGCAGGTGAATGTCGAGACCCCTTTCCATGGCCTGCCAGGCAAACAGCTGTGCCTTAGACACGGCATCCGTGTCTCCCGTGAATCGCACAAAGTTGTCGCCCGCGTATTGCAACTCTTCAGCACTTTGTCCGCTATTCTTGTAGGGATTCTCTCTCATGGCGCGAGTCTTGGGGTCATAGTATGCGGACTCGGGATCCAAGTTTCGCAAGTATTTCGCCGTATCCTCTCTTATACGCAGATTGCGGACAGTTATCCGTTGTTTTGAGTCCACTTTAGTACCCGGCATATCGATGTGGTCGGCATACTTGTCCTCCTCGTCGTTGTCCGAGTCAGACTCCACCGCATCGGTGGTCCCCTCCTTCACCACCTCTTCGTTAAGCAAATCCTGTTTGAGTTTCTCTTCCTTCAGGAGTCTCTTCGCGTCTTCAATCTTCTCGTGCTCTTCGATCACAAGTTTATACATTTCCGGTTCGTATCCATTCCAACGATCCCTCTTTCCATCGAAATCTAGACTCAGGTTCGGTAACACGTGTTCGTCGGCCGCCAAGTCTTCGCCCGAATACTTAGCGCCTATTCTTCGGGGTCTCTCCAAACAGTCCTTCTTCTTGTGAGTGATTGCCCCGCAGTTCTCACAGCCGCCCGACCGATACCGCGTGGCTGTCGCGCCCTTCAAACCCCTCACGAAGTGGTCATCGATTTTGGCGAATTCCTTCACTTTCTCCTCCTGTTGTCTTTGATGCTTAAGAGTGGGTCCTTCCGATCCGAAATACCACGGCGTCGATGATATGTACTGAGGTATGTGTGGATTGATGTCCCTGTCAGACACAAACAGTCAGTGATGGCAGTGATGACAGTGAT